CTGTAATATTCCTCCCAATGAAGGCAAGTATAAGATATGGAGGGAGAACCTGTGTTCCTGCAACTGAATGCCCCCCCCAAAAAACTTGATTTGGGTAAAAACATAGTGGGGAAGTTGAAGAGGAAAAAGATAATCTCTAAGCATACATTTAGACTTAAAAGGGATGTCAAGATACTTCTCCTTCTGTCTTGAGTTCTCTGAGTACAGCAACCAGAACTATTTTTTCTGGTTTATCATCAAGAAATACCGTCCACTTAAAAGAGAATTCCTTATATAGAAGATTGCGCTACAAGTAGTCCTTGCTTAATGACCCTAATTGGGACAGGAATTTCCATTGCTAAGCAAAGCGGTCATTAGGTGAAACATCACATGGCTGCACCGCTTAGCGACAGCAGCTCCAGTAGTCCTAGTTGTGGTCATTAGATGAGGACATCGTGCTTCTCCTGTCCTGTGCGAACTGCTCCATCCTGCTGTCTCCTTCCCAGCCAGGTCCAGCAAGCTCCCTTCAGCAGACAAGGCTCCACTGCCCTGCTGCACTCACCTTCGCATTATCTCCCCCCACCTGCCTATCTCCCCCATCTCTGCCTTTTTGACCACCCTGCCACCTATCCCTGCTGCCACCTGCCACCCCCAGCTGACCTTTGCCATCTTCCTCCTGCTGCTGACGACATATGCCCGGCTGAGGCAATTGCTGGCTCTTCACGAGGCCTTGCAAGGCATCACGAAGGGCCAGCAGGTGCCTTGGCTGGGCACACCTCATCAGCAGTGGGAGGAAGAAGATGGCAAAGGTCAGCTGGGGACAGCAGGGGAGTTGAAGTGCATGCTACAGTCGTAAATGCAGTTGGGCTGCCAGGCACCTGAATTCTGATCATGTGACCACAGGGGACTGCAACAGCCGTAACTTTGGGAACCAGTCATAACTAACATTTGTTCAATGCCATTGTAACTTCTAACGGTTGCTGAATGAATGATTGTTTAGTTAGGACTACCTGTAAACACATTGCAAATTCAGTACAGGGATAAATAGTGCGGTGTATGAGAAAATGTTACGAAAATTTTTATAAATGAAATCATTCTTTAAAGAGCATATCAGCTAAACACTTGAATGCACCATCTTCCTTAAAGGTCAAAAGAAGACTCAGTATCCCTTCTGGTTGTGCTTAGTTTAACAATATTGGCTGTTTTAATGGGAATATAAATGCAGTGTAAGCAAATGGCATAAATAAAGCAAGTAATTAAAACTAAAGAAGAATCTATTCCTTTGTTCTTTGAATTATTGTTTGCATTGTTCATTTGTTTCAAAATCAGCCCAACAAGATAAAATAGGTCCATTAGCCCAAATTGGACTGTTATCCCTGATAATAAGATTTTTTGTCACTACATCAAAGTGAGTTTGCACTTTTAGGCTATATTTCTAAATATTTACAAATAAATACATTCTATTATATTCAATAGGAGTTCATGTCTGGGCAGACCTTTACAAAAATATATTAATCACCATAGACTCCAGCTTGCCCCTTTCAATCCAAATCTTGACCTTATAAGGAGGCATCAGGTCTGTCATTACTTAAGCTTATCCCTGTGTTATTTTGGGGGTGGGGGTAGATGAAGCCTTTCCTTTATCAAAAAGTTTCACATAAGTAAAATTTGGTAATAAAAACAATTCAGAAGAGGAAGTTCTATGGTAGCTGTTGAATTCACCATATCCTGTCTTCAGCATGATTTTCATTTCTGTTTCTCTGTAACTGAATGGAATATCCATAAATATTTGTTTGGTTTCTTGGTGAAAAAGGGATGAGACAGAGGGAAATGTTCTTAGTGAATCATGCAGATTCAATGCATCATTGGTTTTTTTTTTTTCCAAGAGAACATTCTTAGTAGCAAGAACATTTATCTGTGGTTATTCTTTGCAGTCAAGTTCCTTGAATACAAGCGGACACATTTTGCTCATCTTGAACATCAAACACATGATTATGCACACTGAGACAATTGCATTCGTTACAAACATTACAGCCTTCTTCAGTTTGGTGCCCCCTGAATACAACCTCTAACATCCCTAGCCAGAAGGCTAATTTGTATAGATTTCTTAATCAATGTGCAGTTTCACCTAAACCATTCTTTATGAAAGATTTTGCTAAGACCTTTCCTCCATGTAATGCTTTCTTCAGTCAGTTTCATCGGGAATACAGTTCTTTTTTTTTTTTTAAATAACACATTTTGGGGAAGAATACTTTCTTAGCATTTAAAATGCATAATTTTGTGCTATGAAAATGTCTTTTTCCCTCCCTGCTAAGCATAGCATTTGCAGTAGACATTGTTCTCCTCAACACTGGCCTTGTCTGGGGATTTTAGTAATTGAAATCCAACATCTTAGAAGAGCACCAGATGGAGGATATTGCAGAATATGTTAATATTGTATAATATAATAATAATATTATATATAATAATATAATAATATGTTAATATCAGGAGAACCTAGTGGCATCACAGGAGACAAATCACATAACTTCTCCCTTCCCATTTTATACCACTTTGTAAATTGCTGAAATGTTCCTTATATATTGCCACCTCAGATGTTAACAGATGGAAAACAACAAAAACTGTGAATGATATTAGCTATTATTTACAGCAAGCCAGGAAAAGAAACAGCTTACGTGAATGGATATGGAAGATTGGACAGTTTAGTGTGAATTTTGTTGTGGCAAACATAGATCTAGAGGATGTCCATAAAGGCACAGAGTTCGAAAGGTATTAGAAACAACGAAGTTGTATCTTTTCCTGAATATCTAAAAAGAAATTAATTTTCATTAAATTAGGAGAAAAGCATATTGTAACTGTCCATTTGAATCTCTTTCAAGAGAAAGAGAAGTTTTCAGTATTTCACCTAGCAAAATATTCTGTAGTGGTTTCCAAAATGTGTTTGGCCTTTGTAAATTCTTTGTAAATTTAGGCACTTCAGAATTCAGTTTTATTCCTTGTTTTGTTGCACTCAGTCCTTTCTTTTGAGGTTTTTATTGTTTTGAGCAACTGCACCTGTCGATGCAAGGATCATGAATCTTTGCATAGGGAAGGAAGAAAACAGTTCCAGTGCCTACTTCTCACTTTTCACTGCCTGAAAACTGAAGTTTTATCGGTTGGGGCTTTCTGTCCAACTGTAACAGTTGTGTGGATAGAATCTCAGACATATTCACATGTGAGCTTTGCACTACTCAGAAACTGCTCCATACCACCTGATGGCAGCTGGTTTGGGGAACTGAGCCAAGTTATTTCTCTTTCTGTGCTGGTTTGTTTAAAACCAGAGCAACGCTTTTTCTCCTTTTTGCAGTGCAGCACCTCCGCACACCTTACGTGTAGGCCATTTTCTCCTTCCTCCCCTCAGTTTAAGGCAATCCTTATTCTTTCCTCCTTCCTTCCAGAGCTTGAGTATCCTATTTCTGTAGATATTAGAATTTGTGTCCCCCTCCAACAACTGCAGAAATATGCAGCCATATTTACATCTATTGAGAAAAGCCCATTGTTGCAATTTAACATCGCAGTTTGCAGGTTTTAAAATGCAATAGGAAAGCTGGCTTTGCAGCTAGAAAGCATTGGCTCTTTTCAAGCTGCCAGGTTGTCCTTCCTTCCTTCCTTCTCAAACAACAAGGTAAATGTACTCAACAGAAACTAAAAACCTAGATTGGTGGATGGGCCTAGCAATGTATTCTGTTTTCCTTTATACGAAGGCAGAACACTAAATTTTTTGCATTCTCCTGTTGATTCCAGTTGGAGGGAGCTCAGGTGGCTTGTGGGAGATCTCAGCCTTCTAAGGTCAGCAGAAGTGAAGGTGATTAAGAAACTGAGGAGTGGAAATAGTGGTGTGGAAGTGCCCCCTCTGGAGCAGCTTAAGAGTCTTAAAATGGCTGATTTCAGCAGAGGCTTAAAGCCTGCCTGTTGCTCATTTTAAATAAACTCCATTTTCCTATTTTTTTCCCTCACCATTTCAAACACACGACAAAAGCTAAATCTGTTCATGGTGGCTGTGTATTTGGCCTAGAAAATCAGTATATTTAGGTTTATCAAGCAGCCTTCTACATTCAGCAGTCATTTCAGCAAGCCTGAATACCGATTAATACCTATCAACTACAGTAAGTTACACTGTTCATGTTGCAGTAACAGTTTATAGGTCCTCATTTATGCCATACATTTAGCAGTGTCTGTTTTCTTCTTTCTTAAAATTACTGAATTGTTTCTAAAACAGATATGATGAGACCAAAGTGTTAACCTGACCATTTGTCTAAATGATATCCTTGCATTTTCCATATTTATTATTTCATCATGTCTATTTTATATATATTTTGCATGTTTTAATCTAATTTCAGATGACCTCTAAATTGAGGAATACACTTTTTTCTCAGAGATCGATGCCATTACTTTAATTAAAAATAATGTCTTTGGGAAAATATATTTAAATTCAACATTATTTAAGACTGCAATTGTATTTTTCCCTTCTCACTTGTAACTTCTTCAAACTTTTATCTATATGTACATCTCAGAAAAACTGTCACAGACTGTATTTCCTGTGGTGCTTTCAGATCAAAGGTTTATTGTGCAGTCCTTAACACTGAGTTTTCCTTTTCCTCTATCTATTTCTTAATGTAAAGAAATACATGAAGGAAGATGAAACAGAATAATTGCTGTCAAATACTTTTCAATTAATAGCCTTTAAAATAATTTACCTGGAAGCATACCTAATGTTTTTCATTTATAACTTTATAAAATGACATTTGTCCATCCTGAAGACTAAAATGTTTCCTTCCTGCAATATAAAACAAAATCTAAGAATCAGAGAAATGATTAATAATATAATGATTATGTATATTCATTCCACAAAGATCCTCCTTCAAAGTTTGCAATCTAGATATACAGGAACATATGTTAGGAAAAGAAAGAGATATTTTCCTGCTTCTTGGAAATTTCTGTAATTAAACCATATTTCTAATGCTTTACCCTTTGTTTTGCAGGTTGTTACTCTGTGGTACAGAGCTCCCGAAGTTCTGCTTCAATCCAGTTATGCAACACCAGTTGATCTTTGGAGTGTAGGTTGTATATTTGCCGAAATGTTCCGTCGCAAGTAAGCAGTAATTTAAATCTTTCTTATTTGGAGAAAAAATAGCTGTAGCTGTAGCTAATATTTCACGAACTGCTATTTTGCTCATTAATTTACTTTAAAATGTCTTCATCAGACCAGATTTTAGGATTGTGTAATAATACAGTAATAACTTATTTATTATTTAAAGCAATACAGTGCTGAGATTCCATGATCATGATACAAGAACAAATAAAAATGTCAAGGCAGGCTGGAGGATGTGCACCTTGGAGAAGCTGGGGAAATAAAAGTGTTTGAACCTGGCATTGAAAAAATTCTAATGTAGAAACCATGGGAATCTCTTAGGAAGGATATTCCAAAGTAATATTCAGTCATGATCCCAAAATATTGGAGTTGTCAGAAGATTTTAATAGTGAGCTGAAGGAATATTGGCTAGCTGCAATTGCCCATCTCTTCTGCTCTTCACCGCCCTCTGTTTTCATTCATGCCTTTGTAAGTTTCAGATGATTCACTAGAAATCCATCAAACCTGAAACTGAATCTTTGACAATTATTTTGTAAGTTTTTTTTCTGTTCTAACAGTGTTTCTGTTAATATTTATACACCTAGTGTACTGAAAGATTCATAAGGAGCTTTTGTGGATATGCTGTCTGAAGTATATTATCTGGGAGAGGCATATTTTTGAGTTCACAGTATAGGATTCTATTGAAATCCACAGTAGATTTCTTTTACAGAATTAGATTAGTGTGTATAGCATTGTTGCTTAAACATTTTAATATTTGTAAATTTAATTTAAAAATAATTTTCTTTCCAAATTTTAAAATCAAAATATTGGTATATGATATCAGAATTGAATGAAGTTTGTGAAATACACAAATCTTAAATTCATGAAACACTAAGTTTGATAATCTGGGGCTGGAAGCGGTTGAAATAATACAAACATAAGTGATTACCAACTGTTTCCATACATTGTCATTCTACAACTATTTGATATATTATTTTAATATCAATATTACGTGCATTAAATGTTTTTTATTTGGAATTTTTAGTTTAATCTTCATGATGGCTTAATATTTCTTTATTCTTAGAATGGAGGTGGACCCCTAGCTGATCATGGTTATGCCATTGGAAGAGGAGGGAACTGCAGCTTAGGACAGACAAGGAGAGGATAAGAGAGAACTTAGATGATTTAAATAAATACATGTCTCTAGGACCAGATGGATTATATCACAGGGTACTGAAGGAACTAGTGGAGGTTATTGCAGAACAACTCTCAGTAATTTTTGATAACTCTTGGAGATTCTAGAAGACAGGAGGAAAGCAGATTTCATCTCCATCTTCAAAAGGGGGAAAAGGGAGGACTTGGGAAACTACAGACCAATCAGCCTGACATCTGTACTGGACAAAGTCTTCAAACACGTTATCAGGTGGCTTATTTGTGAACACTTGGATAGGAATGCTACAGTTAACAGGAGCCAGCATGAGTTTGTTGCTAACAATGTGAACCAGAATAATGTGGCATAATCACAGGACATTTTATCATGGGTTATGATGCATTTTTAAGTTGTCTGAGTGTGGCCCTATAAAGATACTACCTTATCTCCTTTGTAGAGTTACTAGCAGAGCAGATTTAGGGAATAATGTAGATATAGTTTACTTGGACCTCAGCAAAGGTTTTGACAGATGGATAATGTACAATCAATGAATCTCAGACAGTCTGTTCCCAAAAAGAAAGTCTAGGAGGAAGAATGAGAATTAAACAAAGGGAATATTAATATGAATCAAAATTAGAAGAAGAAAAGGCTCAGAGTCAGTGAGGGGTAGAACAGTGTGAAGCTGGATTCCAAACTGGGGACTGAGAAAATAATTCCGTGTGTTGACCAATCACCGACTCTATTGACATTGTGTTCATTAAACAAGTCAAGCAGCTGATATTTATGCCTGACCCCTATTCTAAATGTCTTATCCTATCTGCCTGTGAAATGTTACAATGTTTGAAATTCATGCTAGGCGTGAACAGGCATTTCTGGCTTAAGAATCTATACGAATCAATTATTCACTATGCTGGGTTCCTCCTTTAGTTTCTAAATCTATATGTTCTGAACCAGTACAATTTACTGGGTGTGTTCACACAGAATTCTAAGGTGTAGGTCAGTGAGGTCACTAGGGTATTTAAAGACCTAATGTCTGAATTTCCATGGTGTGGCTATGTTTGTTTCTTTAAATCTTAGTTAGCTTGGTTAAATCTTAATTTAAATCATGGTTAAATTTTACAGCATTAATTGACTACTTTTCAGGGGTTGGATTTGTGACAAAATGATGGTAGTGCAGAAGATTAGCAGATAGGGAGAATGAAGGAGAAGGCAAGGAATGCAGAGTCTCCCGCAGGTGGCATAGTGGTGGCTGCCAGAGTATAGAGAATTATGTAGGTGGGTGGAGCTTGCAAGGAACCTTTTGCCCTGTGTGAAAGAATGGAGTGGGCTCTGCCAGGAGCATGTATCCTTGACAGCCAAGGCTCACTCACGACACACACAGCCCATCCTTCACACTTTCAGACACTTTTGCTGACAACATGATTGAAGGAGCAGGAGAAAGAGAGAAAGAACTTTGTGGCAACAAGCATGCACACTTATTTCAGAGCCCCTTGCTGTTTTACAGAGCACAGGAAGTTCCCTATGAGCTCCACATGTGGACAACTCATCATTTGGAATATGCAGATACTAACATCAAACCGGGGGCACCTCAGTTTGGGTGTAAGGTGCCTTCAGATTTATTGGCAGATGAAATGCACAATGACTTAGCAAAGTATCGTCTTTGGCATTTAGCCTCAAAATGGGCTAATTCAAAAATTGGGTTAATATGTTGTGTGAACAAAATCATTGAATCATTCTCAGTTATGGACAAAATGTTTCTCCCATAAAATGTACAGAATGCTGATTTTCTTTCACATTCATATTATATTTTTGAATCTAAAATACTTTTCTTTCAGCTCTGTTTGTGCACCCTGGGGCAAAACTCCTAAGACTCTGCCAAAAATATTGCTTTTCTGAAAATTAGTATGCCTTGCTGCCTTTTTGTCTGGCAGTCAAATATGATTCAAGCTGTCATTGTTATTCTGTTACATAGAGAGGTTGCTGGGTTAAATTAGAGGCCTGCATTTATTCAGGCTTATGGTAGAAATTCAGGACTTGGAAACAGAACTGAAAAAGATAATCTAATAGACTGGCCACCTGTCTAGAGATGAATTAAAAGCTTGTCCAGGACTAGCTCATCAGTCTCTATACCCATAAAAGATAGAAAGGCTTAAAAGAAAGATAAAGTGATATGTAGATATTTCCTAATGGGATGAGGAAAAGGAGGATCTCTTCATATAAAATGTTTAGAGATTAATAGGGTGAACTTCAACATAGCTATAGACATATTTGGATCAGTGGCAACAAAATAAGACATATAGCTATTATGAATATATTTGTTTAGAACACTCATTTAGAACATTAACATTCCCACATTTGATTTTAAATTAATATAAAAAAGAGTGGATGCCCAATTATTTCTACTTTTCTATTATACGTAAGTTTTCATTTTAAAAAATACAAACTGGGACAATATGTTCTTATATTCAGGTCCAGAAATCATTCTCTTTTATGCTTTATTACATAAAATTGCATGCTAAGCCAGAGTTGATTTAATTTGGAATTTGTTGCAAAAAAACTACTAGGATGAAAGAGCAGCTGGCTTCAGCAGAAACCTTGTATGATGATATAATCACCCCATAGTGGGATGGGGTTGGCACTTTTTTGTCCACCCTGACTTTTCATGCAAATATTTTGACATACCACATGGTGGGATTGTATTTCACTACCTCAGGAAATGTGGAACCAGTAGATAGTGAACAGCAATCTTGTCATATGGTGAGGGTCAACGCTCAAGATAAATAATCTCATAGAGACTTTGCTCATCTATTCATTTGAACCCACCTCTATTTCCATATATAACCACTTTTAGGACTAAGTTATAATTACAGGTTTTACTGTTTTTGTTTTTACTTTATCATTTTCTTTTTTGATCTGTTCTTGTTCTTCCTTCAGACTTGCAGATCAGATTTGTTTTGTTGAGAAATGGGAGGGAAATTTTGCATTCTCATTTAATTGAATAATATGATTCAAACAGTAAGATTGATAATAAGCTTGTGATTATTGTAAGGTGCATTATGATTTTTTGCAGGCAATATTAGCCATGTTTCCCCTCAGCACCTTTGTTATGAGTGAGTCTAAATACTTTAAATGAGGTTTCTAAAAATGGATGCATGTAGATTATTAAATATGCAAGTTCACATTGTGTGTGTTACCCATTTCGTGTCTGGGAAACGAAATATTTACTGTATTATGAAGAATCAAAATGAGTGGAGTTTCCCTGAGTGACCAATTTAAAGCTGAAAAAAATTAAATAAAAGACACTTTAAAAAGTTCCAGGAGGTTAACAAGCTCATTTCATTATATACATTTTTTTTTATGGTTCATATTAGCTTGCTTCCTTCTTCTGTTTTTCTGGCTGGTTATCTTCCCAAGGGCTTACAGTTCAGCCGATTGATAACCGTTAGTCAAACCCAGTAACTGTATCTGTCTGTGGTTGGAGAGGGGTGTGGAAGTGAATGGCATGCCATTCAGTTGTGGTTTTCCTTCAAGCTTCCAATCATGCCAGCCTTTGTCACAATTGTAGATATGATGGGCAAAGGAAACCGTTGGTCAACCATAGAAACCAAAAACTGTTACTTAGCGCCTAACAAAAGCAAAGAGGGGAGGGGGGAATGCCAGCTTAGCATGCAGAAAAACCCTTGGTCACTCACATAAAATAATTGGGCTGCTACAGCCAGACTGAGTGGTTTGATGGTATATATTTTTATATATGGCAGCTATAGCTTTGCTCTGGTGAATAAACATTTTATTTTGATATCACTATTTTGTTGGGGTTTTGTCCTCTGTAGCCTTCATTAGGATGAGTACAGTAGCATTTACATGAGGAAATGACA